ACAAGCCCCCGCCCAGTCCCCGCCTGTCTCCGGCCCCCACCTGGGCCGGCCCCCACTCGGCCCCAGCCCTGCCCAGCCCCCAGCCCTGTCAGATCCTCGCACCAGCCCAGAGCCTGGCCAGACGCTGCTTGGCTCCAGTCCCAGGATCTTCGTCTAGCCCGGGGGGGCCTGTGGCCCGGGCGGCCCGCGAGTGGATTTTCAGTGGCACTCGCACTGGCCCCCGCTCCGGGGGGCTCTGCATTTTAATTTAATTTGAAATGAAGCTTCTTAAACTTTTTAAAAGCCTTATTGACTTGACATACAATAGTTTAGTTCTATAATCTAGACCTAGACCGAGCCCTTCTGAAAACGATCATCTGCACGACCAGCTCGCGAAACCATAAACCCGAGTGAGTAAACGCAGACTCGGCCCAGCGCTTCGGAAAGGCGGCCGGCCCCTGGGCTAGTCTCTGCTTGGTCCTTTGTCCCACTGGGCCTTGTCCCTGATCTCAGCTGCCCCGGGGCTCAAACCTGCTCCCCAGTCCTCAAATCCGCCTTAATCCCAATCCCCCTCCCGTCTCAGCCAGCCCGGAACCCCCCCATTCCCCAGTCCCTAGATGAGCCCTTCACATTCTCCGCCCCCCACCTCCTAGACCTGCCCCAGGCCGCGCTGGGTTTCGAGGGTTTTAGCCGGGGTCCCTCCCCAGTCTTCATCTTTCTCCTTCTCCGTGGGAAAAACCACCCAGGCAGCATGTGCCGAGATCCGGCTCGCGACATGAGCTGAATTTAACAGGACGACGCCAAGCTGCAGCCACCTCTGGGGCAGGGCAGCCGGAGAACAGCTGCATCTCCGCGCTGGGCGAGCCGTACCTGTGCGGTGTTATGTGCGGCTGTTCCCCAGCTGCCCCACCTCAGAAGTGGCTGCATCTCAGCATCAAGCGAGCCTTCCGCTAGCCCTGTTTGTCTCCATTCCAGGCCGCCAGGACACCACGCCCACCGAGATAAGATGGATGGTTACTGCATGTTCAACCACCTGGCCATCGGGGCCAGATACGCCCGGCAAAAACTGGGAGTGGAACGGTGAGGGACTGGTGGTCAGAGCAGGGGGAGCCTAGAGCCAGGGTGTCCGTGGCCCGGGGGAGCTGGTGCTGAGTCCCACTAACGAGCAACCCCCGTCACGAGAGTCTCGTTTCCTTCCAGAGTCCTGATCGTCGACTGGGACGTTCACCATGGGCAGGGCACCCAGTTCCTCTTCGAGGAGGATCCCAGGTCGGTCCCAGGCGCTTGGAGCCAGGGGAACCCAGAGCCGGGCTAGCAGGGGCTGCGGGTCGGGAGTGAGGGGCACCGGCAGAGCTGGGGGGGGCAGGGGGCTGCGGGTCGGGAGTGAGGGGCACCGGCAGAGCTCGGGAGGGGGGGTAGGGGCTGCGGGTCGGGAGTGAGGGGCACCAGTCACTGCCCCCCGTCTGCCCCCTCTCTCTGCAGCGTTCTCTATTTCTCCGTCCATCGCTACGAGCAGGGGAGGTTCTGGCCCCACCTTCCGGCTTCCGACAGCCCCGCCGTGGGGCAGGGCCGCGGAGAGGGATTCAACATTAACGTGCCGTGGAACGCGGTAGGTGCCCTGCCCGGGGCGGGGGCTGCGTGGGGGGTGAGCCGTCCCTGGGGGGTGTTATGTGCGGCCGTTTCCCAGCCGCCCCAACCCAGAAGTGGCTGCATTTCACCTCCCGCAGACCCATCTAACTGGTCTGCGTCTCTCCGTCTAGGTGGGAATGAGGGACGGGGATTATCTCGCTGCCTTTTTACACGTCTTACTGCCAGTGGCCTTTGAGGTACGTGGGGGCAGGAAAGGGGCAGGGTCCTGTCCCCTCTGGGGGGCGCCGGCTCCCACCCGGCCCCCGGGCAGGGACTGGCTGGTTCAGGGGGGCGGGAAAGGAGCAGGGCCCGTCCCCTCTGGGGGGCGCTGGCCGCAATCCGGGGCGTGCTGGCTCCGGGCTGCGATCTCCTCTGTTCTCTTCTCAGTTCCAACCCCAGCTGGTTCTGGTGGCCGCCGGGTTCGACTCTGTGCTCGGGGACCCCAAGGTAAGTGCCGCCCCATCCCGCCGCGTTTCGCAGCGCTGCCCTCAGGGGGCGCCCCAGGGGCTAGGCAGGGGGCCTGGGACTCGTTTCAAAGGGCAGCGGCCAGTCTAGGGGGCTGGGTGGGGGGCCCCACTGTGGGGCGGGGAGAGAGCCTGGTAAACTGATCTTTGCGTCTGCGCCTAGGGCGAGATGGCTGCGTCGGCCGCGTGCTTCGCTCACCTGACTCATCTGCTCATGGCCCTGGCGGGAGGCAAGGTGCTGCTGTCTTTGGAGGTGAGTGTGGAGCTGACCCAAGGCACAGGCTCCCCCCCAGAACTGACTGCAGCTCAGCCCCGGGCGGCGTTAAATGTGGCTGTTCCCCAGCCACCCCGCCCCAGAGGTGGCTGCAGCTCAGGCCCGGGGGTGCTGTTGACCCGTTTTCCCCCCGTTCCCAGGGTGGCTACAATCTGAGCTCCCTGGCCGAGGGGGTCTGTGCGGCCCTGAGGACCCTCCTGGGGGACCCCTGTCCCCGGCTGGAGCCGCCTGTTGCCCCCTGTCGCAGGTGAGCGGGGTCCGAGCGGGTGGGGGTGGGGCGGCCCCACGTTTGCACCCCACTGACTCTGGGCTGCTCCCCTTCCCCAGCGCTCTGAGCTCCGTGTCCAGGACGCTCGCGATCCACGAGAAATACTGGCGGAGCCTGCGGAGAGGGGGTGAGTCCTGGCCCCCGGGGGGCCCCCTGCTCGCCCCCAGCCCCTCCAGGGTCCCTCAGCTCCTCTGAGATGCCCCATCCCAGCCCCTGTGGGGTACCCTCTCCTGCCCCCACAACCTCTTTGGGGGTCCCCTGGCCCCCAGCTTCCGACTCCACAGCCAGGAGCCCCACAACCCCATCCCCCTGCTATACCCTGCCCTCAAACTCCCACTGGGTCCCCCGATTTGATATCACCCCCATAGCTCAGGGGATTGGCTCTGATCTCCTCCCTCCCCCCCCCCCCACGAGGCCGACACCCCCCCCAGAAGATGTGGAAGAGGAGCCAGCCCCCACGACCCCCCCAGACCCCCGTGAGGTGACGCGACCCCTCCCGGCTGCCCGCACTGGCCTGGTGTATGACGAACGCATGACGGAGCATTACAACATGTGGGACAGGTACAGCCCGGATTCCTGGGTTCTTTCCCGGCTCTGGGAGGGGAGTGGGGGCTAGTGGTTAGAGCAGGGGGGGGCTGGGAGCCAGGATTCCTGGGTTCTTTCCCGGCTCTGGGAGGGGAGTGGGGGCTGGTGGTTAGAGATAGGGGGGGGCTGGGAGCCAGGATTCCTGGGTTCTCTCCCCGGCTCTGGGAGGGGAGTGGGGGCTGGTGGTTAGAGCAGGGGGGGCTGGGAGCCCGGACTCCTGGGTTCTCTGCCTGCCTTGCAGCCTGGCGTACGTGCAGACGGTGAAGGCCACAGCTGGCATGAAGCCGCGGGAGCTGCACCGCCAGGGGGACCAGTACAACTCCATCTACATCTGCGCCAGCTCCTACGAGTGCGCCCGGCTGGCAGCCGGCTCTGCCTTCAACGCCGTGCGAGCCGTGCTGGAGGGCGAGGTGAGGGGAGCGGGGCTGGGGGCTCTCCCCTGGCAGTCGGGGCCAGGCACTGGGAGGGGGAGGGACTCGGGGTGGGGGGGTGCCAGGGGGCACACTCTCCCCTGCCCTTCCCCCCTCCCTTTGCCCCCCCAAGACTCAGAATGTGAACCCCGGCGTTCAGCCAAATCCTCATTAAGGGGTTTTCATTCCGTCTCCTTGTGTCTTCACTTGGAGATGAGACTTCGCTTCCCGTTCCAGAGGGTCCTTCCCCAGAGGTGGCTGCACCTGTCCGCTCGGGGAGGGCTCGCCGGGCACTGTTCTGTGCGGCTGTTCCCCAGCTGCCCCGCCCCAGAGGTGGCTGCATCTCGGCACCGTCTCACCCCCGGTGTGCTCTGTGCCCGGCTCTAGGTGCAGAACGCCGTGGCCATTGTCCGGCCCCCCGGGCATCACGCCGAGTCCGACACAGCCTGTGGCTTCTGCTTCTTCAATTCGGTTGCCCTGGCAGCTCGGTTCGCGCAGCGCCTGGCGGGACGGCCCATGAAGTGAGCAGGGGCTGGAGGTTACACTGCGGGGCGGCTGGGGGTCTGGATGCCCCCTGGGTTCTCTCCCTGGGTCTGCGAGGGGAGGGGGGGCTGGTGGTTAGAGCAGGGGGGGCTGGGAGCCAGGACTCCTGGGTTCTGTCCCCGGCTCTGGGAGGAGAGTGGGGGCTGGTGGTTAGAGCAGGGGGGGCTGGGAGCTAGGACTCCTGGGTTCTCTCCCTGGCTCTGGGAGGAGAGTGGGGGCTGGTGGTTAAGAGCAGGGGGGGCTGGGAGCCAGGACTCCTGGGTTCCATCCTCATCATCCCTTCTCCTCGTTGTCAGGGTGATGATCCTGGACTGGGATGTTCACCATGGCAACGGTACCCAGCACATGTTTGAGGAAGATCCGAGGTACCTTGTCCTCTGGTGGGGAGGCTGCTGGGGGGTGGAGTGGGGAGGTGGTGGGGTCAGCGGGGGGGGGGGTCAGCGGGGCGGCGATGCAGGTGGGGGAGGGGCGGTGACTGGGGCAGTGGGGTGGCTGCAGGGCCGATGCACGTGGGGGAGGGGCGGCAGCAGGTGGCGATGCAGGTGGGGGAGGGGTGGTGATGGGGCAGTCGGGGGGGCAGCAATGCAGGTGGGGGAGGGGGAGGGGTGGGGGAGGGGCTGGGGGACAGGGTCCGAGCAGGACTAACCCCGCCGCCCCCCCCAGCGTGCTGTACGTCTCTCTGCACCGTTACGACCACGGCACCTTCTTCCCCACCTCTGAGGACGCTGACGCCGACCAGGTGGGGAAGGGGCCGGGCCGTGGCTTCACCCTCAACGTGCCCTGGAACGGCCCCCGCATGGGCGACGCCGAGTACCTGGCCGCCTTCCACCGCCTGGTGCTGCCCGTCGCCTACCAGGTGCGCCCGGACACCTGGGTTCTCTCCCAGCGCCGGAAGGGGAGGGGAGGGGAGGGGGGAGCCCGGATGCCTAGATCCGCTGGCAGGGGCTGGGGGGTGAGGGGGTGGGGGGGCTGAGCCCGGATGCCTGGGTCCACTGGCCAGGGGTGGGGGGTCTCAGCTTCTCATTCTCTCTCTCTGCAGTTCGCTCCAGAGCTGGTTCTGGTGTCGGCTGGGTTTGACGCCGCCCGTGGGGACCCGCTGGGGGGCTACCTGGTGAGCCCCGAGGGCTACGCCCACATGACCCACCTCCTGCTGGGGCTGGCAGGAGGCCGGGTCGTGCTGGTACTGGAGGTACGTGGGTTAGGGGCCTGTCCCCTCTGGGGAGCGCTGGCTGGCTGAGGGGGGTCAGGGAGTGGGGCAGGGCTTGTCCCCTGTGGGGGGTGCCGGCTCCCACCCGACCCAGGGCAGGGACTGGCTGGCTCAGGGGGGCAGGGAATGGGGCAAAGCCCAGAGCTAAACAGGGCGGATGGATGCTGGGCCACGCTGGCTGGGGGGTGTTAACTCCGGCGGGGGCGGGGCCTGGGCCCGGCTGCTCGGTTAACGCTTCACCCGGCTGCCTGCTGGTGCCAATTCCCCGCAAAACCTCCAGGGACGTCCTGAGGCGCTAAGGTGCTGGGGGAGCCAAGTCTGCGGGAAACGACCAACTCTCCCGGGGAGGGGAAACCTGGCTCTGAAACGGGACGAAAATCTGAAATTTCTGGGGTCCCGGGGAAAGCAAATCCCGTCCGGGGCAGAACAGCTGAACCCCAGCCCGGGCGTGCGGCTGACGGACGTGAGATTTAATATTTGCCTCAATCCCTTTATTATTGATTCAACTGGTCCTGCTGCTCCGTGGCTTTCAGATACTATTAACCTGTCAGTTCATCTGCATTAGAATCTTCTTTAGCACGTCACTGACTGTGATCTGGAGTTAATATCCAGTCTAGCCTTAACAGTCATCAAATGGAGTCATATGATTACTGCCATCGATCTGATACTGAATGTTCTAATAATCTAATATTGCGGATTTGAGAAATCCTTTCATTATATTTAAATGTGAACAAAATGATCATTAAGAGAATTTTTCTTTGCGATAAACTTGAACAATAATACATTAAATATATCCTAGATACTTAATATACTTAATATTACATATATTTTATTTACTATAAAGTATATAAATCTCTATTTTAATAATGTATTAAATATCAATTTTACGGTCTTATATTTAAGATGTAATATATTAAATACATATGTGATTATAGAATGTGGTGAGATATGAAATCGTTCTGTCTAATACTGATTGTATATTACATAGAGATCTAAAATTAATTGTAGTAAAGATAAATTGTACTATATCATTTTAGCTACTATCTAATATATACTGAATAAAACAATAAACCGCTGAATTATAGATTGTGTACTAGACAAGACAGCTGTTAAAGTTACTATCTGTGCTAGATTTGTAATTCATTTACTATGTATATTTTATAGTCAATAGAAAAACGACGATGTAGGAAAACACTAGAATGTTTAACGTTACTATTGTTACTGTATATTATACGTTACATTTCATGTGATTTAACGTTATATATTAAAGTAATTAATAAGGTAGTTAGCTATGTGCTATAATTTAATAGTAAATATCCACTTTAATAAGTATTTATTGAACAGGACTCGCTAAGTGATCCCGTGTTGAATACGCGGTTTTCTCCTCTCTGTCTGGCCTGGGCTGAGCCGACGAGACGCCAGGCAGGGAGGTGCCGCTGGTGCCGGGCCGGGCGACGTTGGGCTGACCCCGGCCCGTGCTGGGCGCCCCGCGGTGACCTGCTGAGTCCCTGTTCTTGGCCGAGTTGGGTTTTCCTGATGCCCGTTTTGCCGGCCAGTTCCAAGCGATTCGCCCCTGAGGTCGGTGGCTCCCGGTCGCGAATCAGGGCCGGGAGACGCCAGCCCAGCTCCGGGCAGGGCGGGGATGTGGCCGGGGTTGAAGCCCGGTGTCTCTTGGTGCTGCGCCGAGGGTGGGGCTGGACAGACGGACGGCCCCAAACCCAGCTCTCTTCTCCCCCCCTTCAGGGAGGCTACAACTTGGTGTCGATCTCCGAGTCCATGACCATGTGCACCCGGACCCTGCTGGGGGACCCGCTGCCCGAGCTGGGGCGCCTGCAAGCGCCACACCCCAGCGCCCTGCACTCGCTGGCCCGGGCGAGCGCCGAGCACCGCAGATACTGGGCCTGCCTGCGACTGGACGGTAAGTGTGCCTGCCTGCCCGCCCGCCCCCCCCCGTGTG